AGACTCTGAGTTGTCAGCACAGAGCCTGATGCAGGGCTAGAACTCACGAACTGTGAGATTATGACCTCAGCTGAAGTCAGGCGTTTAACCAACTGAGCCATCCAGGCACCCCTAACTTGATGGAACCTTCTGACTGGGAAGTTAGCTTATGGACCCAACCAATCTTTTTCCCATGTTACTATTCCCATCCATTCATAAAAACATTTATTGGGCACTTACTCCACACCAGGCACCGTTCCAGGCACCAACCATGCAGCAAACTTCATGCCTCCTTGGCTACCTAATCATTTTATAACTATCAAATGGCAGGATACATCAGAGAGAAATAATACCAAATTAGGTATGTGTGGATCTTTAAGGAGTTTCAATTTTTTACTATGTCTGTGTGTGGTAAACTACATATTTTTACCATTTTTGTTAACAGCTTATTTAGAGAGAGACAGCACAAGTGGGCAGACAGAAAATACCAAGCAGGTTCTGCACTGCCAGTGCAGAGTCCAATGCAGGGCTCAAACTCATGAACTAGGAGATCACTGACCTGAGCCAAAGCTGGATGCGTGACCCACTGAGCCACCCCAGGCACCCCATACTTGTTAACAGTGCATAGATCTATGGTATTAAGTACGTTCACATTGTGCAAACTTCACTACCATCCATCTCCAACCTTTTCATCTTCTCCAACCAAAACTATACAAATTAAACACCAACACTCCAATGTCCCCTCTGTACATACTTTAAATTTTCCCAAATTAGCGTGATCAGACCACCGTTAGAAAATTGTAGCACCTGTACCCATGTGCTCATGCTCGCCTCTGAAGGGAGAGGATAGCCTATTTAGGCCCCCTTTTTATACATATTTAAATAAAGTAAGCTCCACTCCTAACATGGGGCTTGAACCCACAACCCTGACATCAAGAGCTGCAGGGTCCACCAACCTCATGAAGTAGCCAGGTGCTCCTAGGCCCTCTTTTTGATAGTCTGAATTTTCCCAAATTTGTCAACTTTATCCCCAATTCACTGTTCAATGCATCTTGACAGTTACATTTCCTGCATCAAGAGAGTATCCTCTCCTCTCAGATTTACACACAAAAATGCAGTATTTATAGAAGCCTGAAAATTATGCCATAAAAATTTATCCCTGGATTAAATTACTATCAGAGACATGTAAATTGCACAGCACAGTATACCATTGGGACTCATGACTGGTTTGTGCTAAGCAATAGCTTTCTTTCAAATTTTATAAATGCCATGTGTGGGTTTCTCAAGTGGATAGGCTTTTGGGGATCAATTACCCAAATGCACAGAATTAGTGAAGAATCATTTCAAGTATACAGGATTCCACAGTACACATTTTTGTCCTAGCATCATGTAGTGTTACTTTCTCCCTAGTTTCAGTAGTTTTTTCATTAGCTCTTTCTTTTAAACTGTATACCCAACCTAGGGGTCGAATGCACAACCCTGAGATCTGGAGTCACATGCTTTACCGAGCCAGAGGAGTTCCTCCATTAGTTCTTCTGGCCACATTGTTCATGTTTTTATAAAGTGGTAATTTCACTTTGAAACAATTTTGTTGTGTAAATAATTCAGAGTATAGCTTATTTTCCTTTAGTAAAATTTCAACATTTTGTCTCAAGACCTCTCTCTCTCCTATATTGTTGATGGGAGGTTAAATTGGCAAAGCTTGCTATTCTATTTGCAACTGTTTGCTTTCTTGAAAGTTAAAATTTTCTTGTTGTCTATACTCATGACTCCCATCAATGGTACATTTGAGAGAGTGAGTGTGCTCCAGCTTAAGCTTGGGAGGGTCAGAGAGGAAGAGAGAGAATCCCAAGCAGGCTCCACGCTGTCAGCACAGAGCCTGATGTGGGGCTAGATCCCACAAACTGAGATCATGACCTGAGATCAAAAGTCAGATACTCAACTGAGTGAGCTACCCAGGCGCCCTCATCTTACTTTTCAATGTATACTTCATAGCACAAAAATGGAGACTTTTTTTTTCCTAATGTTTATTCATTATTGAGAGACAGACAGTATAAGCATGGGAGGGGCAGAGAGCGGAGGAGACAAAGATTCCGAAGCAGGCTTCAGGCTCCGAGCTGTCAGCACACAGCCTGACGCAGGGCTTGAACCCACAAACCGTGAGATCGTGACTTGAGCCGAAGTCGGACGTTCAACGGACTGAGCCACCCAGGTGCCCCTAAAAATGCATATTTTGATCATTCAATCCACTTAAATTACTTGGGTGGGAAAAAAAAATTCACACATGCAAAGCATTAAGTTTGGCATTGGTATGAAAGTTTTTTGTTGTTTTTTAAGTTTATTTTTGAGAGAAAAAGAGCACACAGAAGGGGCAGAGAGGGAGAAATAAAGAGAATCCCTAGCAGGTTCTGCACCGTCAGTGTGGAGCCTGAGGCAGCGCTTGAACTCACCAACTGTGAGATCATGATCTGAGCTCAAGTCAGACACTTAACTGACTGAGCCACTCAGGTGCCAGCATGGAGCCCACTGTGGGGCTCAATCCCACCAACTGTGAGATCATGACCTGAGTGGAAATCAAGCCACCCAGGCCCTTTAAGGATTATATCTTTAAGTAATTTTTATGCCCAATGGGCTTGAACTCACAACCCCAAGATCAGGTTACATGCTCTATCAACTGAGCCAGCCAGGTGCTCCTAAACCTTTTCTAATTGTACATTTACACAATTTAACACATCTACCCTTTAAAGTCCTTGAGCCTAATATCTATCCTAGTATTCAATACATAACATTACACCCACGCACTCACTACTTCTGATAGAAGTTCCCCTTTTGCAGCACCTGGGTGGCTCAGGTCATGATCACACAGTTTATGAGTTCAATTCCTGTGTCAGTCTCTGTGCTGACAGCCCAGAGCCTGGAGCCTGCTTCGGATTCTGTGTCTGTCTCTCTCTCTGCCCCTCCCCTGCTCATGCTGTCTCAAAAGTAAATAAAAACATGAAAAAAAAAAAGTTCCCTTTTCTATAAAGGAATTTGCTTCTTGACTGTTGAAACCACCCCTCCCACTCTCTTCCTCTCTTCAGCAGCATACAGCCCTTGGTTACCATCTTGGCCTTCTCTGGCCTCCTCCTCTAACATTTTGGGTATGCTACTCCCTTAAGGCTATTACATTTGCTATTCCCTTTACTTAACATGTTCTTCCTCCAGGTATGCACAAGGCTCCCTCCTTTATCACCCTTAGATTTTACTCAAAATTCCACCTCAGGGAAGCCTGCAAAGACTACCCTATTTAAAATTGTGTCCCCCTCGGGGCGCCTGGGTGGCTCAGTCGGTTAAGCGTCCGACTTCAGCTCAGGTCACGATCTCGCAGTACGTGAGTTCGAGCCCCGCGTCAGGCTCTGGGCTGATGGCTCAGAGCCTGGAGCCTGCTTCTGATTCTGTGTCTCCCTCTCTCTCTGCCCCTTCCCCGTTCATGCTCTGTCTCTCTCTGTCTCAAAAATAAAAAAAAAAGTTAAAAAAAAATTAAAAAAAATAAATAAATAAAATTGTGTCCCCCTTACTCCCCTATTCTCCTTCCCATTAGCATGTACATAACATCTACATGTTTTGTTTCTGATGTTTACTAGCTCTTCCCCAAGGTTTTTCTCTAACAGATTGTGGCTGTTTTTATTTTTGTTGGTGATAATGTTGCTTAAATCTTTAAAGTACTTTTACAGTCAACAGATTAATGGTTCTTTCAGGGCAATTCCAAGTCTTTTAATAACCTTGCTTAAGGGCATCTGGGTGGGTCAGTCCGTTAAACATCTGCTTAGTCTTGGCTTAGGTCATGATCTCAGGTTGGTGGGTTTGAGCCCCACATCAGGCTCTGTGCTGACAAGTGTGCAGCCTGCTTGAAATTCCCTCTGCCCCTCCCCTACTCAGTTTCTCTCTCTCTCAAATTAAAAAAGCAGTAACTTGAATTAAAAGAGCTAAATTCTCTAGGAACCAGCAAGAGATTGATCTCTGGCTATTCTTTATTGGCAAAAACTTTTAAAAAGACATTTTGAAAAAGCTTAAAAAAAATTTTTTTTAACTATTTACTTTTGAGAGAGGGGGGAGGGAGGGAGGAAGGGAGGGGCAGAGAAAGAGGGAAACACAGAACCCAAAACAGGCTCCAGGCTGAGCTGTCAGCACAGTGCCCAATGTGGGGCTTAAACTCACGAACCGCTAGATCATGACCTGAGCCGAAGTTGGACGCTTAACTGAGCCACCCAGGCACCCCCGTAAGTTTTTTTAATAGGGACACCTGGCTGGCTCAGTTGGTGGTGTGTGTGACTCTTGATATTGGGGTTATGTTTGAACCCCATGGTGGGTGCAGAAATTGCTTAAAACAAAATCCTTAAAAAATAGCCCAAGGCCACTTCAATCTCATAGATTTCATCAGTCTATTACATACATTAAAATAATCTAATTTTATCTCTACTGTTTGAGGGAGAAAACAAAGCTCATGCTCCTATCCTTTTTTATAAAAGTTGCCTGAAACATAATCCACCTCTTTGCTAAAACACTTTCACCTAACATTAGAATATGTTCCCTATTAGAATGTGGGCTTCTTGAAGACATAAACCATATTATCTTTCCTTCACCACGGTGCTTGGTATTGAATACTGTTAATATCAACAACTTGGCTGACAGGAAGGGAAGCAGGAGGAAGAGGAAGCACCTGGGTGGCTCAGTTGGTTAAGTGTCTAACTTCAGCTCAGCTCATGATCTGATAGTTCACAAGTTTGAGCCCCCAGTCAGACTCTGTGCTGACAGCTCAGAGCCTGGAGCCTGCTTCAGATTCTGTGTCTCCCTCTCTCTCTGCCCCTCCCCAGCTTGTACTCTGTCTCTCTCTCTCAAAAAATAAACATTAAAAAAAATTTTAAAGACTGAGGAAGAGACAGAATTATACAATCAGGTATAGCAAATATGTTAGGAAAGGGACTGGTTCCCAAATCAATCCAGTTATAGTTTCCCATTCTACCACAATAAAAGAGACAGTCTCATTTTCAAAGAAATTAACTTTTATTTGAAAGGAGACTACTTTTCCTCACACTTATCTTCTAAGGACTCTATACTATACAATAATAGCCTGCTTAACCATTGTCCCAATACCAAAATTTCTAACAGCAAAGTATACAATTGCTCTAAGTAATAAATAAGAGTTGTCCTTCACTGATTAAGGGAATACTTAAACTTCAATAAATTCAACACAAAAATCACACTTTAAATTTTAACAGATGTATTTTAAATACAACATGTTTTGTAGGAGTCCACAAGCTTTTTATCTCTTAGAAAAAAAAAAAAAAGAAAAAAAAGACATAATTTTTAGGGTTCAAAAATTTCGTTCTTCAAAAGAAATGACCAAGTGTTTTCTTTTATAGCTTCAAACTTTCTACACTATTTGACTGCTCCATGCCACCCCAGACAAACTTGACATGACTGAACTACTTTATGTGTTACTATCTTTCCCAAAAGAAGTTAAAAAAGGAGTTTGTTTTAAATGCAGGTCTCTAGTACAATGTCTAATACAATATCTAACACAAAAGAAGCTTTAAAAAGATCATTTCTTTCCTCATTTGATTAGCCAGGAGTTAATTTTCTGTAAAAGCAAAGCAAAGGAAAAAAAAAAAAACATTTACAAAGTGTAACACTGGGGATTCCTTTTTTACTTAAGATGTTTAACTACTCAAAATGACAACAATTACATCTTTAAGAGTATACTAAAAGGGGTGGAAACAGCAATACAACTGACAAAGTGTAGATGGTAAATAAACCGAAGATTTTTTTTTTCCAAAGGTTCTTTTTAAAGGAGTAAGAAGGATTAGAAGCTTGGGGAAATCCAGAATTAAAACAAAAAGCAAACCCAAACCAAAAACAAACAAAAACAAAAACAAAAAACGAAACACACCAAACTAAACCAAAAAAAGAAAAAAAAAAAAAAAAGAGAGAGAGAGAAAGATGTCCTCATCTGCAACCATTCTGTTTATCAATAGCGTCCTGAAAGAGAGCAAAAAAAAAAAAAGTCAAAATGACAATTATAGTTTGACTTGCCTAGTATTCGTCAAACTATGAACAATCTCCATATATGCTGATTTTCTAAAATAAACCATTGATTACGAATGGTTCCTAATGCCACAAAGTAAAAGTGTACATACGTGGACTGTAGGAACGAGATCTTGATCGTGATCTGTATCGACTATAGTAAGGAGAAGGTGATCTTCTTCTGCAGGAAATAAAAGATTACTTTGCATACCACATAATCACTGAGGCAGATGAAAATAACCATTACATTCTCTGTGTGCCAATTAATACTAGAACAGCAAGCATATGACACAACAAAATATTGGCAAATACAGATTACTGACCTCTGTTCTCAATCTTGAGAAAATAGTTTCCCCCTTCCTCAAGAAATCATCATATAAAATCTATTTTTTTAAAGTTACTTAATTTTGAGAGAAAAAAAAAGCACAAGTGGGGGATGGGCAGTGACAGAGGGGGAGAGAATCCCAAGCAGGCTCTGCAAAAGTGCAGAGCCTGAATTTATAAACTGAGATTGTGACCTGAGCTGAAGTCAGTTGCTTAACCAACTGAGCCACCTAGGCATGTCCCTGTAAAATCTATTTTAAATATTTTATTAATGTATACAAAACAAAAATGAAAAGTACTAAATACTATTATAATCTAATTTAGAATGAAAATTACAAATTAAAACATTACCTGTACCGGTAATCATAGTCTTCATATCTGTCATACCCACGATCATATCCTCTATCATAGTAAGAATCCCGACGCCTGCCACCTCCTCCACCTCCACCACCACCTCCGCCACCACCACCGCCACTACTACAGAAAAATATAAAAATTTTACATCAATGTGATTTTCCAGTATCATTTAATACCAACTGGTGCTTAAATAAAACGGAGGAAGGAAGGAAGACAATGTAGAAAGAAAGATTATCGCTTTTCGTGTCGGTTACCTCCACATCTCACTTTGCTGACTCCCATGGTATTATTCTGCTTTGGCTTCCTACTCATTACATAAATAACCAGGAATGATTTCCCAAAACTCTCCAAATTATAAACTGCTCTTTTATACTACTCAAACCAGCAGGACCTTTTCAACAAGGTGAAATGAAGCACTGTGCTAGGAAACAGTACCAAAATGCTTAAGATGTGAGTCCTTAAGACTAATTCAGATGCAATGAATAAACATCATGAATTTAAAAAGGTTAACCAACCCGGAACAGCAAAAAGAATTAACTACCTTACATTGAGGTGCATCACTACAACAATTTTGAGATCTGGTTTATAAGACTTTGGCAGTGAATTTAAACTCTAAGCACTTTCTCCTGTACTTTTCCCAACTCCTAACCATAGGTACATTATTTTCACTTTAGTTTTCTGTAGGCTCTCCTTGCCAAATCCTACATTTTCCTCAGCAAGGTTTCAAAATAACTGAAAGTAATTCCTTCTTTCATTCTTAGCAATACTGTCTTTGGCTGTATTATATTAAAAAAAACATATATAAAAGCCTCTTTATTTTCTGCAATGTGAAAACTGACTTAAAAAAAAATATGTATCACTATCCAATAACCCTTCCCTATTCACAAGGCTTCCAAAGTCATGTAAGAATAGAAAGAGAATAAATGCTTAAAAGCATACACTATTTTTCTCATCTTTAATAAATTTTCTATTTGTATTAGCATCAAGCAAAGAGTCAGGAACGACTTTGATGGCTTTAATTTGTCCCCCTCCTCAAATAGATATTAGAATATGTACAAATTAAGCTTTCCATTCTAATTACAGGAAAAAATCATTTTATCTGCTAATTAATAAAAAAATTTGCATGCATTTTTGGTGAATTTCTGGCTCTTACAGTTTAGCTTAGAAAACATGTTATCTTACTGAGTTGGTCTGCCCATGTAGATGCCAGGTGTAGGTGTGTGCGCTCTCTTGGTAATAGAATAATCCACACGAATTCTTCGACCATCCAGCTCCATTCCATTTGCTCTTTCCATTGCCTTTAACAGAGAACAGGCACAGAAAGTCATGCATATTTTACTAAGAAGAAACTACTAAAACTGCCAACAAATTTAACACATTTTCCATTTGAAGTTAAAAAAAATTAAAATTCTCTAAACACTTCTTTCCTAAACAATAGGGACCAGGATTTTATATTATTAATTCTTGCTCTATGCATGTCAATAGTATTGAGTTTTCTAATGTACACACAGACACTGAAGCATCCCTCTGCTGAAACACTGGGGGCAGCTAGAGAGAAAAAAACCACACAAGTTGGGAAGCCTGCATAACTCTTGAGGCTGCAGTTACTAGTTTCAGTCTAGGCAACTCAAAGCAGAAACTGCCATTCAGCTCACCTAAAACTATTTCTTAGGTAACACACTGCCACCTAGTGAACTCCAAATATAAAAGAACTTTTAAACCGGCCAACAAATGCTCCTGTCTTTATACCTGTGCTCACATTCCCTAACATTCTGCCCTGTGGCAAGAATACCAATAAATGTGACAATAATTCAAGTACATTACAAAGTTCTTTGGAACTACAGTAAAGTTGCCAATTTCATTTTATCTTATAAAGGAAATAAACCAGGCGGAGTGGTTGTGGGAAGAATCAAGAGCTAGGACAAATAAGTTTCATATTAAAAAAAAAATCTTAATTGGGGTATTGTTTTATACTTCACAACCTTCACTTCAGGTCAGATATCCTAGTATTTTTATTAAAAAAAAAAAAAGTTTACTAATTTTTTTTTTTTTTTTTTTTTGAGAGAGACAGAGCACACGCAAGAGGCAGAGAGGAGAGAGAATCCCAAGCAAGCTCCATGCTCAGTACGGAGCCCGACACTAGGATGAACCAGATCACCAACTGAGCAGATTATCAAAGAGCAGGCTGCTTAACCAAGTGAGCCACTCAGGCACCTCCTCCAACTACTTTTTAAGTTTATAACTTTATCTCTTGAGACCAGAAATCACAAATATGTAACCAAAAAAGGTAATATTTGACAGATTAAAACATTTAGAGAATGCTAATTAGAACGTCTATTACATAAATGATTTACAACCTGGAGGATTACTTTGTTAGAATTATCTGGGGTTTTTCAACCTTTGCACTTTGGGACTGCTAATTCTATGTTGTGGGTGGCTAACTTGTGCACTATAATTGTAAGATGTTTAGTATCATTTTTTGCCTCTATCCATTAGATGCCACTAGCATCTATTATTTTTGAAAAATATGCGAACTTTCATTATGACTGTTTATGTCGCAATCAAATACTGTTGATACATAGAGCAACAACCCATATCCAACTACTATCACATGTAAAATAGTAATTGGATAACTACTATAGGTAAAACAGTACCAACGTGAGGCTCAAACTCACGACCCTGAGATCAAGAGTCACATGCTCTACCAACTGAACTAGCCAGGTACCTGACATTTATTAAGGTTTGATAAGAAAAAAGTTTTGATAAAAAAACTCAACAACGGGCTTCAAATTCCTTAAAATGGAATTTTCTAACCCGATCACTATGAACTCTAGTATAGAGAAAGTAAGCCTACTGCTCCCTTTATATTCCACTATCAAATACATTAGAATAGCACAACTTCAGGGGTGCCTGGGTGACTAAGCTGGTTAAGCATCCGACCATTGGTTTCGGCTCAGGTCATGATCTCGTGGTTTTGTGAATTCAAGCCCAACATCAGGCTCTGTACCGGCAGCGCAAAGACTGCTTGGGATTCTCTCTCTCCCCATCCCCAACTTACACTGTGTCTGTCTCTCTCAAAATAAATTTAAAAAATAATTAAAAAAGCAATTTCTTAAAAAAAAATAGCACAATTTCAAATCATTGATATTGATTATGATCACAGTTAGGAAAATGAAGAATGGCAATAAAAACAAGAAATGAAAAAAGACCAGTTTTTTCTAGGTATATTTTAATTATAGAAAAATAGATGAGTATGAATGGAAACACACTCTATACATGGGGAGCTCATGTGACACAAAGTTAAACAGATTAACTTAAATATTATATAGTTTCTCTTTAACTTTTAAAAGAAGATTTTATTTTTAAGTAATCTCTACACCCAGCATGGGGCTTGAATTCACAACCCCAAGATCAAGAGTTGCACGCTCCACCAACTGAGCTTGCCAGACAACTGAAAATACCATAGAATTTCTAGAAAGTTAGTTTAATCACCTTCTTGGGAGTATGAATAAGACTTAGTCAAAGAAGAATATTCATATGCTTTATTTTTTCTATTAACTCAAACACATACATCTCACTTTCCAAACTGTAACACTGAGAGGAAGAGTTTGAATAGACTCAGGTCAGGGAATGAAAGAGAACATGTTATGGAACTGGGAGACTATCAGTCAACTTTTAACAATAACCTGACATTATAATTATGTACCTCAAAAATGTCAAATTGACAGATAATTATAAAATTACCTCCTTTGAGTCATCTATTCTTTCAAAATAAACAAAAGCAAATCCTCGTGATCGTCCAGTTCGCTGATCATAAACCACATTGACACCACTCAATGGTCCGTATCGAGAAAATACTTCACGAAGATCTCTCTCTGTTGTGTACAAACTGAGGCCAAACACTCCAAGGCAAGTGTTGGGATCTGGATTTGCCTGTTGAATATTTAAGATGTGATTTAATTTCAAGCTCCAAACTGAAGTAAAAATTAAGCCGCACAGAAATACTTTGAACACCTCATCTAATACACAAAGACTATACACTACTTCAAGTTACTTGGAAAGAAGAATTTAAGAGGAAAAAACCCAGATGAGTAATATTTTACAGTTTACATACAGTACACTCACCCCTTCTTTGGAGTATACATCCAGTTGTATCCTAAATAAAAACATCCCTACTTTCTATTTCTAGTCCTGCAATTTTCAGAATGTATCCAAAGAATCCATCCTAGTTTAAATTTAAAGCCTTATTCGTGGCTTATTCAAATGTTCTATACCTTACAGATTTGTACTTAATATGACTTCATCTGTAAGTGCTTTCTCCATTTTCATTAAGGATATTCTTTCAATTTTCCCACAATCCTAATTTGAAAAATGTATTTACACATTTCAAAGCATCATTAAATAACAGCAGATTCCATTACAGTTAAATGATTCAGTATCACATAGAGGGAAAACACAGCACCAAAGTTAAGCACAGGAAGTTTGAGGCATGCAGCCTGGTTGAAACCTGGACTCTGCCAGTTAGCCAAAATCTAAACATCAATGTCACATATCCAAGGCTCAACTTGCTTATCTATTACATGCATTGAAAACCTCTGCACAGTGCTGAATGTGTGTTAGCTATTATTATTACTACATGTATTTCCCTGCCAGCTTCCCTCAGCCTCCACCAAAAGTTTTTAATCTCAATATTTTCAGCTCAGTTTTTCATTTTAATTCGTAGAACATATATTTTCTTCACAAATTTCAACTTTTCACTCAAAAGTCAAGAAAATAAAATATATAAAAAAATATTTTTTTAATATTTAATTTATCTTGAGAGACAGAGAATCCCAAGCAGGCCCTGCAGTTGGGGCTGAAACCCATGAACCATAAGATCACATTTTGAGCTGAAAACAAGATTGGACATTTAACTGACTGAACCACCCAGGTACCCCAAGAAAAGAAAATATATTTAAATGAATATAAATATTCATATGCTTAAGGATGTTTCTGGAATATCACTTTATTTATTTTTTATTTCCTTAAGTAATCTCTACACACAATGAGGGGCTCTAACTCATAACCTGAAGATCAAGAGTCGCATGCTCCACCGACTAAATCAGCCAGGTGCCCCCTGGAGTACCACTTTAAAATAACGGTCTAGGGGTGCCTGGGTGGCTCAGTCAGTTAAGTGTCCAACTTTGGCTCAGGTCATGATCTCACTGTTCGTGAGTTCAAGTCCTGCATCAGGCTCTGTGCTGACAGCTCAGAGCCTGAGCCTGCTTTGGATTCTGTGTCTCCCTCTCTGTCTTTCCTGCGCTTATACTATCGCTCTCAAAAAAATGAATGAATGTTAAAAAAAAAAAACAACAAAACCCCAAAAAATCCAAAAAGATGGTCTAGTCTCATGAAATCAAGATATTATGCTATAACTAAACACCTAAGACAAAATAAGTTTTCATTAATTTTTTAAAACTACATACCCTGCTGCCTGTATGTCTTCTCCGGTTAGACATTGGAGAGTGACTTCGGCTTCTACGACGCCGGTATTCAGGTGTATATGACCTACTTCGAGATCGTCTCCTATGAGAGTGAGAATGGGATCTGGATCGAGTGTAACGTCTATGAGAATGCCTCCTTGACCTCGACCTGTGAGAGAAATAAATTTAAGTGAAAATACTGAAGCAAATGGGTAATGCCAAGGATTTATACATGTACCCCAGCTCCTTTTTACTTTCTGAGGCAAGTATATTCTTCTTGTTCTCTTAATCATACAATCATCTTGTTCTCAGTCTATCCCTTCTACATTCACTCTTTCACACTATACCTTACAAGCATGTTACACCTCTATCTTCTTTTAAAAGAAAAACACAAAACAAGCACTAAGGAAATCCTGCAATATTCTGAGACATGGATGAACCCTGAGGACATTATGCTAAGGCAAACAAGCCAGCCACCAAAAGACAAATACTGTGATTCCACTTATATAAGGTTCTTAGAGTAGTCAAAACCATATAGCCAGCAAGTAAAATGGTGGCTGCCAAGGGCTGGGAGAGGGGGAAAACAAGGGGCCACTGTTCAATGGGTATAGAGTTTGTTTTACAGGATGAAGAGTTCTGGGACAGATGGTAGTGATGGTTGCACAATGTGAATGTATTTAATACCACTACTCAATAGCACTCAAACATGGTTAAGACTGTCAATTTAAAAAAAAAATTTTTTTTTTTTCAACATTTATTTATTTTTGGGACAGAGAGAGACAGAGCATGAACGGGGGAGGGGCAGAGACAGAGGGAGACACAGAATCGGAAACAGGCTCCAGGCTCTGAGCCATCAGCCCAGAGCCCGACGTGGGGCTCGAACTCCCGGACCGCGAGATCGTGACCTGGCTGAAGTCAGACGCTTAACCGACTGCGCCACCCAGGCGCCCCCAAAATTTTTTTTTAAATGTTTACTTATTTTTGAGAGACAGAATGTGAGTGAGGGAAGGGCAGGCGGGGGGGGGGGGGGGAGGGAAAGAAGGGACAGAGGGAGAGGGAGAGGGAGAAAGAGAGACAGACAGACATAGAATCTGAAGCAGGCTCCAGGCTCCGAGTTGTTAGCACAGAGCCCGATGAGGGGCTTGAACCCACGAACTGTGAGATCATGACCTGAGCCAAAGCTGGAAGCTCAACTGACTTGAGCCACTCAGGTGCCCCAAGACTGTAAATTTTGTTATGTGTATCTTACCATAACAAAGACCAATCACCAACTGCCATTATCACCACAGTAAAATCCTTTGATTCTTACCATCTTCTCAATATAGTTCTACATTCCCTTCACTGTTAAGTGTCATTTCCTTTCCAATCTTTCTTTAGCCCACTGCAATCCAGCATCTCCTAAATTAATCCAACAACCTAAATGCCCATGTAATAGTCTTCATGTCTAACAGTCTTCATTTCTTTAAGTTTACTACAGCATCTCACTTGTCTTTCCCCTGCTGATTCCCTAGTTCTTCTTTCTCTATTTCCAGCCACTTTGATTATTTCTTTGCCTCTTAATGTTAACTATTTATTGACTATTCACATGACTCATCTTTGATAAACACACAGACCAGGAGCGAGTGATCACAGTCTTTTTTTTTTTTTTTTTTTAACGTTTATTTATTTTTTGAGACAGAGAGAGACAGAGCATGAACGGGGGAGGGGCAGAGAGAGAGGGAGACACAGAATCAGAAGCAGGCTCCAGGCTCTGAGCCATCAGCCCAGAGCCCGACACGGGGCTCGAACTCACGGACCGCGAGATCGTGACCTGAGCTGAAGTCGGACGCTTAACCAACTGAGCCACCCAGGCGCCCCATGGAGCGATCACAGTCTTACAAAATAATTTGTTTAGGGCATTCAATAAATGTTATACATGCTAAGGGCCAGAGTGTCTAAAAAGAGAGCACATGCGTGAAGAGAATTAAACTAACAAGGGAAGATTATTCAAAACAAAGAAGGCTAACAATGAAGCTGGGAGACATATTTTACTAGGTAGACAGGGGAAAAGTATTCTAGGAACAGCAAAAGCAAAAGTTCCTTGGCAAGACCTGGAGATGTAGTTCCTAGCACATTTAAGATATAGAGATTTCCCATTTTCCTTAACACTAATTTACAGCCTCACTGTAAAAGATAAACAAACATTAATAAGAAATCCTGTCACTTAAAGTATCAATTGTTGGGGCGCCTGGGTGGCTCAGTTGGCTTAGTGTCTGACTTTGGCTCAGGTCATGATCTCACGGTTCATGGGTTCGAGCCCCGCATCAGGCTCTGTGTTGACAGCTTAGAGCCTGGACCATGCTTTGGATTCCGTGTCTCCCTCTCTCTCTCTGCTCCTCCCCTATCCATACTCTCTCAAAAATAAATAAACGTTAAAAAAAAAGAAAAATGTTTATTTTTTGCGGGGCGGGAAGGGGCAGAGACAGCGAGGGTGACAGAGAATTCAAAGCAGGCTCTGTGCTGACAGCAGAGAGCCTGATGTATGGGTAGAACCAACGAACCTTGAGATATGACCTGAGCCTAAGTCAGACACTTAAGACAACTGAACCACCCAGGTGCCCTTCAACTGTTATTTTTAAACAGTAATGATAAATGACATAAATTAAAAACCCTTCAGGAGTGCCTAAGCTTTTCTCTGAATCAGATAGTGGTAAGTATCACACAAAAAAATTAAGAGTAAGGCAATAAGGTGTGTATGCTCTTTAACGTTCTCAGGTGGCACACAGACAGAGAATGAATTAAGTGATTGAATATCTGAGGGAGGAGAATTCTAGGCCGAGAACAACAAGTGTGAAGGTCCTAAAATGAAAACATGCTCATTTCCATTTGCACACCCAAATTCTACACAGTGCTATCCTGCACATGATTTAATTAGAGTGGTTAGTGAATCAAGTTGGATCGTGGATATGACAGAAAAGATAGCTGTGGACTCAAGAAAAGTATAGCCTTTTAATGGATTTTTTTTGTCTCATGCTCCCTTGCAAACAAACTCTACACAAAGAAATTATGTCTCCAATTATGAAATTATAGGGGCGCCTGGGTGGCTCAGTTAATTAAGCATCACTATCTGACTCTCAGTTTTGGCCCAGGTTTCGTGAGTTTGAGCCCCACATGCAGCCTGCACTGACAGTGCAGAGCCTACTTGGGATTCTCTCTCTGCCATTCCCCGACTCATGTTATCTCCATTACAATAAATAAACTCAAAAAAAAAAAAAAAGAAAAGAAAAAAGAAATTACATCGACAAGAGTTCCAACCTGGACCTACTGAGTCACAATCTTCAGGTAAAGGATGTAGCTGGAATATGAATCTTGAAACAGCTTCTCAAATCATTGTGATAGCCAGTACAACATAGACACATCAACCTTCTCTGCTCTAAATTACATGCCAAGTATCCAATGGAGAAATTTACCTTTTGGTTGTACAAATACTGAAATAAAATAAAAAACCAATCCTCAGATGCCAAATGCATTTAAATCAATCAACACATTGAATCTATATTAACAGCCAGCATCTGATAGGTTAACTGGGCTAAGAGATGACTCTGCCTTATCTAAATCTTTATCTAGCACACTCATTTAAAAAAAAAATCTTTGGGGCGCCTGGGTGGCGCAGTCGGTTAAGCGTCCGACTTCAGCCAGGTCACGATCTCGCGGTCCGGGAGTTCGAGCCCCGCGTCAGGCTCTGGGCTGATGGCTCGGAGCCTGGAGCCTGTTTCCGGTTCTGTGTCTCCCTCTCTCTCTGCCCCTCCCCCGTTCATGCTCTGTCTCTCTCTGTCCCAAAAATAAATAAATGTTGAAAAAAAAAAATTAAAAAAAAAAAAAAAATCTTTTATTTATTTATTTTGGGATAGTGTACATGCATGAGAGTAGGGAAGGGGGTAGGGAGAGAGAGAATCCCAAGCAGGCTCCACACTCAGTGCAGAGCCCAACAGGAGCTAGATTCCATGACCATGAGATCATGAGCTGAAACGAGATCAAGAGACTGACACTTAACTGACTGAGCCACCCAGGCACCCCTAGAACATTCATTTCTAAGCTCCACAGTTTGAGAAAAACTACTTCATGTTTTGGGTGAAATTTCTTTGGTTTTTGGTCTAATCTCTATACAAAATGCAGCAAAAACAAGGAATTTAGTAAAAAACCACTTTGCTCTGAAAAATCCAAGGAAAGCATCTTAAGTACTATTTTAAGCACACTTACCTGGATTTTGATCTTGATCGAGAATGGGATTCAGAGTGTTTGGAAACCCTTGATGGACTACGAGATCCTGACCTGCTCTCCGATTTTACACGAGCAGGAGTTCCCGTTGGAGATTTTGACTGAGAGCGAGACTCCTAACAAAGAAGACAGTATTACAAATGGCACTGGTCACGTAGATGCCTAACACCTAACATTTAAAGTACCGTAATTATTTATATTGATTGCTCCTGAAAAACAAATGGTTAGGCAATACCCTCCAGAAAAAATTTCAGCTCATTAATAACCCATTGTTAATACTGCTAACTGTCCTCAATAATTCCCTACTTGAACCAGATCACCAATTCTCTATTAACTAAGTAATCATGCAAATTCATCTACAACTTGATCATACAGACACTGGAACATAAACCATACATTTACTTAACCTAGGACCCATTCATTCTTCCAGATTCTTTTAATTCTACTTCACTCTTGCTTTCTACTTCTCTTCATTCTTCATTGAGTTTTTCATTTTTCATACTTCGTGTATTCTTCCCCAATTCAAACAATTCAAAATAGCCTTAAAAAAAATATTCAAGTGCTTCTATCTGACCAATCTTCTGTTCAATTTTTTCCCCCATTCAATTTTAATTTTCTGATCTTTAATACTTTTCATTAGCCTTCTTTTATCTTGATTTATCTTCCACATTCTTGGAAAAAACTCTTCAATTTCTTCACGAACATTAACCTTAATGGAAAAAGAACATTTAGTATATTTAAGCACGTGGGGATTATAAAACTCTGCTGGAGTTCAGAATGTTATCTACCAAATGGAAAAGCCAGCAGGTAAAGTGCAAATAACTAGTTTATTAAAAAACAATTTTATAATCTTTAAAATTTTTCAAAAGTCTAGTTTCTAACAATTAAAGAAAATTTACTGAATTTCTCTAAATGTTTTTTACCATATTCTTCACCCTCCTCCCCTTTCATGTTTCATCCTATTTCCTAAAATGTGAACAATTTTAATATAAATAATTAATCCAAGCATAAATCTAACATTAACTGTAATCCCCCCCACGTATGTCTTAAGTATTTACTAATTTATAACTTGAAGTCTTAGTTATCTTAAAATGAGCTTTCACTAAGCCATGCTAAGATACCAAGATACAGTTAAAGCAAAGCATTCTGGGCTGAAATTTGCACACATCTACCTAAACTCAATTATTAGAGAACACATGCTGATGTTCAAAGTAAAAAAAAAAAAAAAAAAAAAAAAAAAAATTAGTGAAATTACTAACATCTTTTCCCAATTATGTTTGACCACTATCTTTGCACACTCCAACTGAATCAGAAACATATGTTCTGAAATAAAGCACAAAGATAAACTTACGGGGAAAAGAGGACATGAAATTCTTAAGATGCCCCCTTTGGCTTATAAATTACTAATACATGTAATTTTTCAACTGTGCCATTTTAATATTCTGTATTATCATGAAGTATCATAATGTACAAAAAATTATACAATTAGTATCATGGTCTTTATTTTTTGATCCCACCAATTTTATTAATAGTTTTCCATATTTTATGCAGTTACACATACATATATTCCCTTCAGTAACTATATCCTATATCAGAAAACTGACTGGCTTCTGAAAAAGTTGGATATAAATCAAAACTTTCCAAGTCAAATGATTTAAAACTGAATAAGAGACTGTTTCTTAATCTGACAGATATATGATTATGACCAAAGTAGGATGGGACAGTCCGGTTTCTCTGTCCATTTATGCCTTGATTATCATTGTAAATAATTACCCCAACCTCACACCCGTTTTCATTTATGCCGTAAGACTATCATGCAACTTCCTTAAAACTTTCTCTTTGAGTTTAATGTCCAAAGATTTACTTATCAAGAACTGTACAAATGCTGCCAGGCCTATTTATTTTTTCAGATGCAAACAAAACTGAAACATATAGCTACCTTTTCCTTCAGTATCAACCTTTCCCATTTAGCTACCTGTAAGTCTTTCACCACATCTCTCTAAATTCTCTATAGTCTCTAAATTCCTGGACAGATGCCTGGAGCAGGCACAGCAATTTAGGCTTTTTCATTCACTTAAACTGTAAAAGCAGCATATTCTGTACTTCAAAAAAAAAAAAGTATGGCCAATTTGCTTGTAATTGAAGCATTACACAGGTTGGTTCATTAAGGTGAAAAGAGTATCTTCCCCTCTCTGCCTTCCCTTCTATAACACAGATCCTATGTTATTCATTTATGCTGTTGAACAGCAGTAGATGAAACACTATGAATATGACCACAGTTCATGTTTACATACATATCAGAATGCTCTATGACACCGTAAAATGTTTAATTTTACAACTGTATAAATCAGTCTTATATTAAAATCTAAGTTTTTTCTTAAATGCTTATGTGAAGCTTTCTAGTACATGGTAAAAATATTATGGTCCAAATATGTGTATGTTTGATTTTCAAGTCTTCCCTCATAAATAAATATAACTGAAAATTATTCAATAGTGCTGAAAATTGCCATTTCTTAGAAATTAATGTAAACAAGCTAACTTAGTAACATCTTAAAATTTAAAGTTTCAATCTCAGTTCTGGCACAGAACTTACTGGAAAAAACGAAACTTTCCTTTTGGTTTGTTAAAACATTAAGACACGACAGAGTATTTTTTCAAAAGACATTAGGCTATTTTAAAAGAAGTCTTGCTGGGGCACCTGGGTGGCTCAGTTGGTTGGGTGGCCAACTGTGGCCCAGGTCATGATCTCCCAGCTCATGAGTTCCAGCCCCTCTTCGGGCTCTGTGTTGATAGCTCAGAGCCTGGAGCCTGGTTCTGATTCTGTGTCTCCCTCTCTCTCTACCCCTCCCCTATTTGCACTCTGTCCATCTGTCTCTCTCAAAAATAAACAAACATTAAACAAAATAAAAAGTCTTGCTTTTTAATTATCTAAGGTTTCACAAACACCTAATACCTCTTTTGTTGCCTATCCTTCAGTTTTTCTATCATGAAAACTTAAATCTGCATAAATTTCTTCATGGAATCATTCAAGGTTAAGAAACAGTCCTCTTACCTCCCTTGTTAACAACTGGTTAGAAAGTTGTCACTATCATTTTAACCTCTGAAAACAATTTAGATACAATCTAAAAAGGTAAAATTAATAACTGTCAGTGAACTTAACTTGAAGAATAAACTACTAATTCTTCAGAATTTTTACTGTAATACAAAAAAAGGCCCGTCATTCTAAGAACTGATATAGTTAATAGTCTTCACAAAGAAAAATGGTCATATCAATTAATATTTGCCATTTTTAAGTAACTTATTTGTCAAAAGCTGGTACGAAGTACCATTTTCACTAAATTGTGCATTAGAAACCAACCTACAACCTTTGTGGACAAATGCTAGATTATCCTTTTCTACCTTTGAGACTTATCTTTATTACAAAATCATAACTTCAACTTTTCCCCCGGAGAAATACATAAAACTTAAATAAAATACTGAGAAGGGCTGTTATCTGTCCTGTTTCACTTGATTACACTGAATCGACTCTTAAAGGTGCCCAGTCAAGAAATTCTGCAAATTCTTCAGTAACCTGCATTCGGATCCAACAACCATTAAAATAAAAAAAAATGGACAGAATGACTCAATCAAGTCATATCCAAAATTTTATAAGCAATCTTAAACAGGCTTCCAGTCTACCTTACCTACTATAAACCAGAAGCCAGGCAGAAAGTTCTCATAGTACAACCTGCTTAAACGGTGTCGGTTCTTTCAACTATTCTTTATTATCAAGGTACCTCTGGTGGCAGATGAAGGACACAGCCAAAAATAAAAACGAGAGAGCTAACCACAATACTACGAATGTACCACGGTATATCCAATTCAAGCAATCTGTGTTAAAATACAGCATTTTACACACCGTACATAACTACAACAACCATGTACTATTCTTTCAATCAAGAAAAAAAGGTTATTAAACATATGCACAGATTGTTGCAGAACATGAACAATTCCTAAGGTAAGCAATAATTGCAGTCTTTTAATACAGCTAGTATCATAATAGATGGAAGAAAAAAATTTCAACATATATGTTTAGTACTTGAAAGCCCATTAAAATGAACACATCACAATATAAATGCTAAGCTGTAACCCATTCTAATATAATGGCAATGCAAATTCCATACCAATAGTGCCAAGTTTATACAAATTCAAGTTTCTATGATAATAGTATAAACTTTAAAAAACAAGCTCTCTCAAGATATATTTTCCCACTACTTTATGAAACTGGAAATCTATGTCCATAAAAGTACACTAGTGCATTTAGGCAACATTTACCTCCCACCCCCCCCGCCCCCCCCGCGTACTTAAAATACTCAAATAGCTTATAATATTTATTGTACTAAGAACTTCATTCTTTAGGGCTTATTGGAAACCTGTGTTTATCCAATTCTTTAATTTCAGTCTACATAAACAGCTGTTCTGCCTCCTTCCTCTTGAGTATGATAGGCTGCTTCTCTTAGACTCTTAAGCTTGTAAAAGAAATACTTTCACTGTCTTTTTCACTGTCTTAACCCATAACTGCTATCAGAGTAATTCCTTAAAAAGAAAACACTTGTGTGCTGCATTCAATTTTAACATGCAAAAAATTTAGTTATATTAAAAGCCAATAAATAATAGCTAAAAAATTTTACTAAGAACCTGCTATAGAATTACTTAGGTTCTCATCTTCTAATATCATGGGAATATTTATGAATCTTGAGTAAACTACAGGGCCTTAGTTTAAAAAAAAAATAACTTTTCTTCTACCTCAGATTGGTCAGGCCTAGTCACTCATAATTCAAAATTTCATTTTGGTGAAAATCATGAGGCAATAAGGATTATATACAACTACATATTGGCAATAATCTAGAGGAGGGAGGGGAAACCACATTTCCTTCATTATTCCCCTCTTAACTTTTTTTTTTAAACAGTGTTTCCAGATTCTTTTCCCCATCTGATCATTAACACTTCCTCACCTGCACTTCTGTCCTGCTAAATCTGGCAGGACAGGTGAACAAATAACAATCAGTATTAACTAATTTAGCATGTGAATATATACCTTTTACAAAGGTCCCAGGGTTAGTTATTTGATGCCTGAGCACCCAGTGATAGTATCAAAGAGTAGGTTTTCACACTGTCAGGAAGGTTCTAAGAAACTATTGATTATCCTTGGCCATTTCACACTTGTTACACTACACAGACCATAGGTAAATAAATTCTGTAAATCCATAAACAAAGCTCATTCCTAAATATTTAAATCCCTTCACATTCTTTCAGATCTCAAGATTTTTTATTCTCATTTTTGGAATGGCACAAATCATTAAGCATCTGTGACAAATCTGTGCACTGGGGGTACAATTAGTTACATTGCTCCCTTTAGAAATCCTACCTTCTACCTCTATTGAGCAGCGAAAGAATCTCAAATATTAAAATTTGAGCATTAAAAATGTTTCCTTAAGTTTAGCAATTCCTTGCTTAAAAATCCACAGAGGGAATAAAAAAAGCATTAAAATTGGATGAAAGCACTTAACGTTAATAAATAAATTGAACCTAAAACAAGACTGTCAAGTTTAATACTGTCACTACTATGGGAAAGAAAGTCTTACCCTTTTGTAACAAGTTGATGTGATGATATATATGAAATTAAATTGCTTAAGAAACTGAACTAAGTATTTTTAAAAGCTAAACGCTGACATTCTTATCTGTAAAATAGAGATTCTTTTTTATTCGTATTTTTTTAAAAGGAAGGGAGAGCGCAAACCTCCCTTGTACTCCCACATTTATTAAAGTTTCATCAGAAGAAAAATTTTAAGCCCAGTTTTATTTTATTTTTAAAAAGAAGCCAGTCACCAAGATGGGTTTTGAATAGCTCAATCATCACCCCAATTATTACAAATCAGGATTCAGAGAAGAAAAAAGCTTCCGCTATTTCTGCTATTCTTTAACAGAATATCTTAACGCACACACATTTTAATTCCAAACTGGTACAGACGAATTTTTATTTTGCTCTTTGCTTCTGTCATCCAAACCATATCATGTGTTAAGAGGAACACTAGGAGTCACTTAAAAATATTCTAGCTACTCAAGAAGCTCTAACAAACTCTGAAAAGGAGACAAGTAGCATTTTTCCTCTTCAACTGTGGAATTATAAGATAGACCCTACATGAAAATCTTTAACCTCTATTAAAAACCATGGGCCAATGAATGAGAAAAAAAATGGACTTAACGTTATTCTAAGTTACGTTAAAAAAAAAAAAATTAGGGGTAGAGGGTGAGTAAGTAAAATGAAAATTTCCATTCCCCATTATTTCTATGAAGAAGTCTAAACATTTTTTGGAGACCTAAATCCTAACTTTAATCGAAGCTGTGTGAAGCAAACAACTTTTTATGAAGATGACATGGAAAGGCACAGCTCAAGTGCCAGCCTCACTCTCAGCTCAGAAAGACATTTCCATTTAAAATATTTCTGTAAACTTAATATACATGTCCCAAGCAAATTGTTTTAAGGAACCTACTACTTATTTTAAAGTAAAAATGTCTCATTCTTTGCATCCCACTGCTGTCCTGTTTGGACCAGAGTCTTCACAATTTCCTTCCTTAAATACCTCGTGTGCCTTGCTGCTCTTCTTGTACCAGTCCCTCTGTTCTTTGCTAAAATTCCTTTCATTATGCCACTCCCAGAATTAAGAATCCATACATGCCTTCTTATAGCATATTGGATTAAGTCCAAATCCCTAAATCTAGAATTCAAAACCCTCCATTATCTAACTGCATATCTAGTCAAATCTATCATCTATTACTGCACCAGCAACCTCCTCATTGTCATCTATTCCTTAACTGTAAGATCCAGTGTTAGGTAAAGCTTTCTCTTTCCCCTACCTCACAAAACCACCCAGCTTCATTTTCTGAATTCCTTATTACTTCTATCACAGGGAACGTGATTATATACCTTTACCCAGATTTGAGCTGACAGTCATCTCAAATTAGAATCCAAGTTCTATTTCCCTCAAGAACACCTGACCTTTACTTAAAAGGCAGCAGATGCTCGACAGTTTTACCTTAGGCAGAAGGGAATTTTGATTGGGTTAACTATTAGGGTTACTTATAACAAAATTCAGCCAGTTATATTTTCCTTCCCCAAGTTCTTTTATTCCAGTCCTCTACAATGGAAGAAACATTAATCTACAGTGGAAAATTAAGCTCCTGTAAACTGTTTCTCACAAACTCTATTAATGTCTGAGATGCTCAAGTACACGTGCTCCTTTTTAAAAAGTAAATCAAAATATATACAGCATAATGTATGCAATGAGCAATGGACTGGGAACTGTAAATCTCAGATTCCTGGCATGGTCTTCTAGGCCTGCTTTACTTTCTAAAATGGCTAAGAATACTCTAGCCCTCGCAAAAGTATCATGAGGAATAAGAAAACATATCAAAAATCGGGGAAGGAGGTGCGGCGTGGTTAAGATTCTGAAATGCTATAAAAAAGTTGCCCTCTAATTCTAAATATCTTTTCAGTAACATGGGGTTAATATGTGCTATTTATTCTAAAGGTAAAGCAAATGAAATCTCAACTGACCCATCAATGTTTTCTCTGCTTCATTTTAGTTACAAAATTTGAAGTATAACTACTTAAAAACCTCAAAAACATCATTTGAAAATCCTTTTTTGAGTGTTTCTAAATGGTCATTACATTTAGATACAAAGATAACATGACAACTATATTCTTTAAAAACTTTTTTAAACTGCTGGTTTGTGGCTAGCAGTTAAGAAATCACAACAGTTTAGAAACCAAAAGCACTAGTGAATGTTAAACTGTTGTAAGAAACAATTTTAAAAAAGAAAAAAGCACACCCTCAGAAAAGCTTCTGGCATTCTTCTAATTCTTTAACCAATAACAAATAAAGACAATTACCCCAACCTACAAAAGAAAAAAAAAAAGATGTAACAGGTAACGGTGGGTGAACGCATTATTCAATCTACTGAGTTCATTTACACTAACATACACTTGGGTATCACATGTCAAAAAATATTTTCTATGGGGCGCCTGGGTGGCGCAGTCGGTTGGGCGTCCGACTTCAGCCAGGTCATCTCAGGGTCCGTGAGTTCGAGCCCCGCGTCGGGCTCTGGGCTGATGGCTCAGAGCCTGGAGCCTGTTTCCGATTCTGTGTCTCCCTCTCTCTCTGCCCCTCGCCCGTTCGTGCTCTGTCTCTCTCTGTCCCAAAAATAAATAAACGTTGAAAAAAAAATTAAAAAAAAAATTTTTCTATGACAGTAAACACTGTAAGGGGCAGGGAGGAGGAAGAACCCGTTTTCTATTAACATAAAATGTTAATGCCTACATACATTTTAGCTTAAAATTGGGTGGGGATCTTACATATACTGCCTTCTTAGGTGGGTAAGGTGTCAATTACCTCAAACTTGTTTAATTAAACTTTAATTAAAAAGTAAGAACTTAAAGGACAACAAGGTCCCAGATAGTAGTCCTCTTCACTTCCCCACAAACCAAATCAAAACTAACATTAACAAAAAATAAATTTCTGTACTAAAGTCAACGGAAGGAAAGATTAATGGGCAGCCAAATTTCTTCCCACAACTACCTAATGTTATCAAAACAATCAGCTTATAATTATCACCACATATTTTTATTAGAAGATTTTTAAAAAGTTTTGTTGGGACAATCAATACGCCACACTAAAAAATAAGCAGGTTCGACTACTCACTTGTATCTGTGACCCAGATTTCATTTTAAAAATCCAATCTTACAGGCATTAAAAAAGTTTTGTTTCTAACCTATTTAAATCTCTTTCCTCACAAAGAATAAAAGCCTAAATCAACCTTCCGATTTAACTGTCTGCTTCTAAGTACTTTTATTACGAACTTCTAAAAAAGCCAAAATTCATTCCAACCAGCACACACCTTAAAGGCTTTTATGCGTTTCCCCTAGTAACTAGAATACCAACACAACAGCAAGAACATGCTGCCTGGGGATTTTCTTTTCAGGGTTTAACACTAAACCACTTCCACCAATTACCACTGTAAGGTAACTTCGGAAGTAGAACTCAAACACTGATTAACGTTCTAGTGTATTTAGGCTGAGGATAACGTATCTTTGTGATGTTTATATTCATCGACCCCAAATAGTGAAAATCCCTGAGGCCCTCTTTGCTGGGGGATGCGGTGAGGAGAGAAATGGGAGAGGGCCTGTAATTTTCAGGTAACGTTTTGAGTAGAGAACAGTATAAACTGACTAGCTATTTTCAAAATACTGAGCCACAAAATTTGTTCAGTTATGTAAGATTTTTTTTTTTTTTTTTTTTTTACCGTAAAGACCTGTAAAGAAGTGGTTTTTAGATGAAGGATCATAGGAAGGAAAGCATTAGAAGTTGAGATATAAAGAAGAGAGAAAAAAAAACCCAACATCAAGGAATTAAAAAATCAGGCGTTATAGCATTTCCACATTCATTTTGAAGTGAAAAGAAAGTAGAAGGGACATTAAGGGAAAAGGGCTCCTTGCGTAGTTTTCCCCTCACAGCTCTCGTCTTAAGAACGCTTAAGGGTCGGTGCGGTCGTTGACTAACCACTTCATTAGGCTCGTCCCACCTTCAACCTCAAGGCTTTCGCCTTTATAGACGCAACGCCGCCGGTTCCAACAGAGACGCGGCCGCTCACTGCAATAGAGAGCCAAGGAGACACAGGCCCCAGCTAGTCCCACGCCAGCTTCTCCCCGCCCGGACAACAGCCCCGCGCAGTTTCGACCCCGAGACCCTCTACGATGCTCGGGGTCGCCAGAAATGCCACCGCAGGAAGCACCTACCACTATCCGGCCGGAGGGGAACTCCCTGCCGTCTCCTCCCGCCCCACCGCGACGGGGACCCACTCCTCGGAACAGAGATAAGGAAGCCTCAGGGGTGGGGAGAAGGGAGCGCGCCACTGCGGGGGGAAATCGGACCTAGGAGTCCAGGTATCAGTCAGTCTCCAAAAAAAAGGGGGAGAGGGGGTTATCCGTGGTGTTTGGGGGAAAGAGTGGAACCCAGAAGCCATCTTGGTATGTGAGGAAACCACCGTGATGGCTCCAGAGGCTGCTCCCCGCGGGACCCCGCAGGACTCCCCGCAACCCCGCCCGACCGCGCTCGTCCCCGTGAAACCCCGAGCATCGGGCCGCCGCCGAAGACGGCTCCCGCGGCTTTGTACTCACTCTGCCCTCGAAGTTGTTCTCCTCTACATCACTCATGTCGGCCAGACGCTCCCCAAAACTAAATGAGAGACAAGTCTCGGCTTGAGGGCCGATGGCCTAATCAACCGCTGACTGGACCGTGGGGAGGAGGAAAGAGTCGGCAACAACGGCCGCTCCACTCCACTCCCACTCGGTCGCAGGCTCCGGCAAAATGGCGCCGGCCCCGCCAGAAACCTTCTGGCCTCCTAGTGCGCGACGTAAGGGGGCGGGACGTCTCTGTGACGGCATGGCCCCGCCTCCCGCGAGGCTTTGTGGCGGTCCCGGCCTAGCGGGTGGGGGAATGGCGTGTATTCTGAGCCTTGGCGCGTTGGAATCGAATCCTTGGCTGAGTGGTCTCAAAACTTAGGACCCCTTTTTAACGTCAGGTGTTTTGAAGATTTTCAGTCGCCAGATGAGCTTTTATTGATCTTGGGCTCTTTAAATATTTTCAAAATGGATTCTGATGGTACAGAAAAAAACTGGGAGCGTATACAGTATTTAATTAATACGGTTTTATTTTGGGGTATTTTCAGCACTTCTATTATTTTTCTTCAACCTTTTGCCCTTTGTAATGTTATTGACATAATACATGCGCAGGTAGTTTATAATGAAAAATCACAGTTCCTTGCCTCGCTCCTGGCTGGCTCCAGTCTCCACGCAAAGACAACTGTGTCAATTTCTTTTAAAATTTTTAATTTATTTTGAGAGAGAGCACTCTGCACGAATGGGAGAGGGGCAGAGAGCTAAGGAAGGAGAGAATCCCAAGCTGACTCCGTGCTGTCAGCGCAGGGTCTGATGAGGGTTCAATTCTACCAACCATGAGATCATGACCTGAACTGAAGTCAAGAGTCAAACCACTCCCTGTAATAAGTTCAGTTTTGAATTCCATATCAGACTTTATCAAACACTGTCTCTCCTTGATGCAGTCACTTACTTTGCTCCTCTTTTTCTGCCCTCTTCAACACTGCAGCAGTCTTAAACTCGGTGGTTTCACTACCCATGTAGATGCGTGCTCCAACATCCTAGACTCTCAGTTCCTTGTGTTCCTTTGCTGCAAGACTCTTGCTCTCCACTCTCCTTCAGTCACTTGCTTACTTATGAAGTTTGTCATTGACTTTAACTGCAACCCTTCCATCATCTCAATTCAAGCAGTCCATTTGATTTATTTATTTATTTTTGGTGAGAACACTTAAGTTCTCTCTTAGCAAATTTTAATTATATAATACAGTATTATCAATATAGTTATCATGTTAGATCCTCAGATCTTATTCATAACTTAAAGTTTATACCCATTTATCAGCTTCTCCCTATTTTTCCTGACCTCTTAGCCCTCGTAACCAATGTTCTTTCTCTGGGTTCAACTTTTTTTTTTTTTTAATTCTGTATATGTGATACTGTGCAGTATTTGTCTTTCTTTGCTTGGCTTATTTCACTTAGCGTAATACCCTCAAACTTCATCCATGTTGTCACAAATGGCAAGATTTCCTTCTTTTCAAGGCTGAATATTATATATATATATATAGATATATTACATATATATTGTATATATAGATATATATATATCTATATATACAGCTATATAATATATATAGATATATATATACAGCTGTATATCTATATATCTATATATAGATATATATAACAGCTATATAATATATCTAGATATATTATATATATCTATATATATCACATTTTCTTTATCCATTCAGGTGTCAATGGAGACTTAGGTTGTTTCCATACCTTGACTATTGTGGATAGTGGTTCAGTGAACATGGGATAATACCCAGAAGTGGGATTGCTGGATCCTATAGGAGTTCTAATTTTAATTTTTTGAGGAAGCTACTTAGTGTTTTCCATAGTGGCTGCACCAGTTTCTATTCCCACCAACAGTGTACAAGTATTCCCTTTTCTCCACATCCTTGCCAGCATTTGTTATTTTTTATATTTTTGATAATAGACATTCTAACACATATGAGGTAATATCTCATTGTGATTTTGATTTGCACAAGTTATGCAAATCTTGATGATTAGTGATTTTGAGCATCTTTTTTAAAAAAGTTTCTTTGAGAGAGAGAGAGAGAGCACGTAAGTGGGGAAGGGGCAGAGAGAAAGTGAGAGAATTCCAAGCAGGCTCCATGCTTGGAGGCTGCACATCCATTCATGCAGGCTCCACAGAGCCCGATCTGGGGATCCCATCTCACAGTCAATAGGATCAGCTCATGACCTGAGCCCAAATCAAGAGTCAGACACTTAACCAACTGATGCACCCAGGTATCCCAAAGCATCTTTCCATATACGTCTTAGCCATTTGTATTTCTTCTTTGGAAAAATGTCTATTCAGGTCCTTTGCCCATTTTTTAAATTGGGTTCTTTGTTTTTTGTATGAGTTCCTTGTATACTTTAGGGATTAACCGCTTATCAGATACAACATGGTTTGCAATTTTTCTCCCATTCCATAGGGTGCTTTTCCCTCTGGTTGATGGTTTCCTTTGCTGTGCAAAAGCTTTGGTATGAATTTGTTAAATCAACATTTGTTAAGGAGAGCCCTGGGGTGGATATGGGTCAATAAACGACCGCAAGAGAAATTGAGATAGAGAAGTTTATTACTCACAACCCTAGACAGAATACATAATATGACGCCTCACAGGGCCACATGGGAGGTCAAGGCAGATACAGGCAGAGAGAGTAATAGGACCTGGGGCACATGCCTTTATTAGGGTCTGAAGGTGGAGAGGTTTGAGGCTCTCGACTCACATTTTGTTTGTCAGTTCAAATAAAAAAGGGTGAGGTTTTAGTAAACTCTACGTGTGTGTGTGTGTGTGGGGGGGGGGGGGGGTTTCATCTAAGGTGTGCATAAGGGGAGGCCCTGGGAGGTGGGGGAAACTGTTTATCACGACAGCTATTGGAAGAGTCACAAAATTTGTTGAAATATTTTGGTTACATGATGAGTGATATATAAATCTTGACACATCTTCTGGAGGTTGGCCTGTACCTGTCCTGAGTTGTTAATGTCCATGCAGCAAGAGGTGCCCTGTAAAGAACAGATTCCACCCCCTTCAGCCAATAAGAAATCTAATGCCAATTGGTTATACATCACTACTTTGTACTAGTGAGCATTACTACTGCTGCTTCAGACTCAGAATATGATGTAGTGTCTGCATGTGGTTGGTTAGGGTAGTTGATAATTGCTGAGTGTTTTTTTTTTTTTTTCAATATATGAAATTTATTGTCAAAATGGTTTCCATACAACACCCAGTGCTCATCCCAAAAGGTGCCCTCCTCAATACCCATCACCCACCCTCCCCTCCCTCCCACCCCCCATCAACCGTCTGTTCTCAGTTTTTAAGAGCCTCTTATGCTTTGCCTCTCTCCCACTCTAACCTCTTTTTTTTCCCCCTTCCCCTCCCCCATGGGTTTCTGTTAAGTTTCTAAGGATCCACATAAGAGTGAAACCATATGGTATCTGTCTTTCTCTGTATGGCTTATTTCACTTAGCATCACACTCTCCAGTTCCATCCACGTTGCTACAAAAGGCCATATTTCATTTTTTCTCATTGCCACGTAGTA